CTCTGTCCTCCCATTTTCTTTTTTTCCAACCATCCTGTGGTGTTCGGTCCTCGTTTTGAAGAGACAGCGCCCTGCGTCTTCTCACTCACTCCTCCTCCTTCCCCTCCTCCCTCCTCCCCTCCCTGCCTCTGCTCTCTCGCATGCCCGTTTCGGCGCACCCCTCACACGTTCCGTGGACACGTAGGGAGCTCATCCGAAGGCCCCAGTGGCAGGGTCCGCATGCAGTTCCACCCCCATTTCGGCGCATCCCTCGCACGTTCCGCGGCCCCATAGGGTGCTCCACCCAAGGCCCCAGTGGCAGGGTCCGCATGCAATTCCACCTCAATTTCGGCACACCCCTCACACGATTCGTGGCCCCATAAGGTGCTCCACCGACGGCCCCCATGGCAGGGTCCGCATGCAGTTCCAGCTCCATCTCGGCGCACCCTCATACGTTTGGTGGCCCCATCGAATATTCCACCCAGGGCCCCAGTGGCAGGTTTCGCATGCAGTTCCACCCTTCATTTCGGCGCACCCCTTCCGCGTTTCGTGGCTCCCAAAGGCCCTAGCGGCAGCGCCCGCACGTGGTTCAACCCTGCATTTCGGCGCACCCCTCACACGTTTCGTGGCTTTACATGGGGCGCACCGACGGCTCCGGTGGCAGCGTCCGCATGGCGTACCCGTGCCAATTCTGGCACACCCGTCACACGCGTCGTGGCCCCAGAGAGAGGTTCACCAAGGACTCTACCCACAACTTCGCTACACACAGCTGCACATGGTCGGGTCCTTCGCCAGGATGTTTTTGCCCCACCGGACAGGTTGGGGTCGTAAGGTTTTGAGAACAGACCTCCCGGCCACTCAAACCCTGCATACCGCGGCCGCCAGACCCCAAGTTGTCCCGAGTGTCCCGGTTATGCCGCCTCGCGCCCTCGACAAACACGACAGAACACACCCTCCATACCGCGGCCGCCAGACCCCAAGTTGTCCCGAGAGTCCCGGTTATCCCGACTCACGCCCTCGACAAACACGACATAACACGCCCCGCATGCCGCGGCCGCCAGACCCCAAGTTGTCCCGAGAATCCCGAGTATCCCACCTCGCGCCCTCGACAAGCACGACAGAACACAATCTGACATAACAGAACATGACAGAACAGAGAAAGAGCATGAACATATCAATATCATGAGAAAAAAGAGGACACCAGCAGAACACATCACATACCAGAGCAGAACATGACAGACCAGAAAACGACAGAGCATGACATGACAGAACATAACCGAGCACAACATAAGACACATTGACAGAACATATCATGTCATGACACAGCGTCACCGAACATCTCATAAGACGACAGCAGAGCATAGCGGCAAACACGCCAGAACACAACATGCCACACCAGAAGATGATATAACATAACACGAGCATGCCATACCATGACAGAGCTTACAATCGCAGCACCATGACAAGAAAAGAGCATGACGTAACATCCCATAACACATTATATCATAGCATGGTAGAACAGACGACGGCATAACACACCATAACATAGCATAACCGAGCAAAACATAAGACACATTGACATAACATCCCATATCATTGCACTTCATCGCAGAATATCGCACAACACAGCCGTATTGCATATCGACACGTACTAGCATAGCAGGTCATAATATGTTGTATTGTGCCGAGCCACCCGCAAGCACAACATCACAGAACATACCAGAGCATAGCATGACAGAGCAGAAGACGACGTAACACAGCATAGCATACTAGAACCGAGCATAACACGCCACGATGGCAGGACACATCATACCACGATACAGCATCACATAGCAGATCATAGCACGGCACCAGAGCATTGCGAAACATACTATCAGAGCAGCTCATAACATACTATATTGAGCCGAGCCGCCAACATCATCACGGAACATAGCATAATATAAAGCACATTGTCAGCGTATCATGCAATAACATAGTACCGCAACGCAGATCACGTTATAACATCTCCAACCATCTGGTGAACTAACTATATGAGCATCACATCGCATATTCAACCAGAAGAGAAACATATAGGTGAAGAGGGGCATCACAACAGACGACGCATCTAACGTCACAGGCGTGACGACGTCACGACAGCCCGTCGACAACAGGAGGGGACATACTAGATAATAACATGACAGATCGTTACTACAGGGAACACGGTTGAACCGTTTGAAGACATAAACGGCAGTAGTGCAGTGGAGGAGAGGAGTACCACGACAGAACAGGACATATCAAGACATACTACAAGACAGGTCGTACTTTACCATATTGAGCCGATCTGGCACCACCATCACGGAACATATCATATTCCAACACAGGTTGAGAGAACAGACCATGCTTTAGCATGGTGCCACAGGGCAGAGTACAACATAATGCACCAACGCATATTGAGGCAGAAGCGTGCATGATTGAGCATACTTTCGTGAATAAGAATGAGATAGCGGAAGGGCAGAGGGAGATCGTAACCTAACACACCGTACGTACATGTTGGCCAGCGTCGCCGCAGGAATCAAGAGTCACATCAATGAGCGATACGACGATGTCTCTAGCGTGACAGGCGTCACGACGTCACGCCGGCCCGTCGACATCAGAACATCAGAGAACACAGCGTCACATTCCACATCGGGGCAGAATCTTACCACATACACACACACACTTTAGCACAACATCGCGTATACTGTAGCCACAATTCGACGGTGTTACCCAGGCGTCAGGACGTCACGCCCTCCCGTCGTGAACATAATTGGACATACAAAGCACAACATGTCAGAGAGCCATTCCATGGAATACGGTCCAGCGCTTTTGAATACAGCAACGGCGGTAGTGGAGAGGAGTATCACGGCAGAGCAGGCCATCACATGACACAATATTACAGAACATCTCATAACACGACAGCAGAGTAGATCGACATTGGGACAGGATCGAATCGACCATAACATAGCACAAGATTACGTCTACGCCAGCTACCACTGCACAGTGTCTTCCTGCTTCTCGCCCTGCACGTCAGCCGTGCCGAGGTACTGTCATTGGAAGGTCAACTTCGTTGTCTGTCCAGCTTCGCCCGGCAATCATTGTCGCGCCACTCCACCTCCCCACCCTCCTCTTCCTCTTCAGGGCGAAAAACTACGTCAGAGGGACCCCAAGGGGGGGTCCAGGGACAGATTTTGAATTCATTTCCTCTCCCCCTCCCTCTTGACCTACTTTTTGGGGGTCCACTCAACGCATGGCCGCCCCCTACTGTACTCCGACATCCGGGTCACCAGGAAAGGCCGGAGGGGGGCGAGGACCTCCCCTTCTTTTGGTCCGAGGTTCGGGGAAGTCTGTTGGTGTTTTCTGGTTCCAGAGGCCCCGATCGAGCTCCGGGACAGACGAACGTCTAGAGCCTTTTTGCTTTGATTCCGGCGAGTTTACTTGCGTGGCAGCCCCCCCCCCGGCCCTTGTTTCATGCAGTGCTGGGCCGAGGGTTCGCAAGCATGCTAGGCCCAGTCAAGCGGCACTGCTCCCGCGGGTGGGCGAAGGAAGGGCGGGGGGCGCCGCCAGGCACTGCGCGCGCCCTTCCATTGGGCGCGCGCACCGTTGGAACCAAGCGCCGAAGGTTTCGGTGGGGATCGCTCGAAGCAGAATAACTCGAATAACTCCCCCCCCCGCTCCGTCTCGTCCTCATTCTTCTTCAGAGGGACAAGGAGGAGGAGGACGAGGAGGAGGAGGAGGAGGAGGAGGAGGAGGAGGAGGGGAGGGGGAGGAGGAGGAGGAGGAGGAGGAGCGAGCGAGCGAGCGACCTCGGCAGCAGTTCGGCTTCGATGCGCGGGGCACAGGCCTGGGAAGATTGGGCGCCTGTCAGCGTCCTGCATTGCTGCTGGTAGGGAGGAGGAGGAGGAGGAGGAGGAGGAGGAGGAGGAGGGGGAAGAGGAGAGGAGGTGGAGTAGGAACATTGGGGAAGGAAAAAATACATGGATCGTCTTCGTTCGTTTCCTTGTCCCACCCCACTCATCATCCTCCGCCCTCATTGCCCCCTCATCTACATTCGTCCTCCCGCCTCGACAATTGCAGATTGAATGCTACTCTCCGATTCCCCTCTGACCTTGTCCGGAAGATGTCCAGCCCTCCCCGCGCATTGTTTTCATAGGATTTCAAACCGTGTTTTTCCCATAGTATGATATCCTATCGCGTTCGGTTCTTCAGGATAGTGTTCCTGCTGCAGCGTTGGCCTCGTTTCACCTTTCTCTGTGCCCCCGCTGCAACGATGGTCTCATTTCCGCGCTTCTGATATTCCTGAATGGCGCTCCCGCTTCAGCGTTGTCCTGTTTCCCGCTTTTCCGGTGATTACTTCTGAATGGTGTTCCCGCTGCAGCCCCCGGCCGCATCTCACAATTTCCGGTGTTCCAGCATAGTTGCAGGGCTGCACCGTTCACGCAACCAGGGTATGCAATTGAATGCTGTGATTTGTGCCGTTATCATGCGATTATTTGCACTGCCTTGCAATACTGTGTTGCGCAACGCGGGGCTACGCAGTGCCATGCCACTGTGCGGTGCAATGCTATGATGTATGCCGTTGGACAATGGAATGGTATGTAATATCATATGCCGCTGGGCTACGCAATGCTATGTTGTGCGCCACGATGTGATGCGATGCCACGCGTTGCGCCCTACAGTGGTATGATCGGATATGCAATGCTTGACTGGTCTACGCTGTGCCATGGGCTCTACGAAATGGTGAGGGATGTGAGGGAGGGGCGGGACGTCAGGTATGACGCGAACGTGCCTAGCTTGCCCTCCTGCCCTTTTCTTCTTTCTGCACTCCTATATTGCTCCTGCTTTGTATTTGTTCCTCCTGCTCCCCCTCTCCCCTCCTGTTATCACACTTCTCGTCCCTCCTCCCACGTCTCTCCACCATCATTCCTGATCCTCTTTTCCTCGTCCTTGTTCCTCCGCCCCACCCATCCTCCCTCATCCCCATGCTCTTCTACGATTCTCTTCAGGGCCAACGACCGCCTGCTCGAGTTTCTGGACTCATCCCCCTGGCCCTTCTCCGTTAGCGACATCGTCAGCATCGTCGGCGTGTATTCGGTGGAGGTGCACCCGGGGGACAGGCCCTCCCTTTTCCTTCCTAGTCCTCGTCCTCCTCTTCCCTCTTCCTCCCTCCCTATCCATTTATCAATTGTGGCCCATGTTTCCTGATGCCAGGGTCAGGGCACGGATACCGTTGTCCCGTGGCCCGAAGACATCTGTTCATCGACGCGGTCCTCTGCACCACAGCGCATGCTTTTCATCGGTACCACCCGCGAGGGCGCCACCGCAGTGGTGCTTGCTCCGCCAATCCCCGCGGTGCTCCGCGGGCCTCAGGCGGTCGGCGTCGGCGTGCGGACGATGCTCAGCCGCGCTAGCTGGGCACCAGGGTTCCGCCGTCAACGTCGAAGTGAAGCACCGCTCCGTATTCGGACGGCGGCCTGGGTTGAGCACAATGCCATCGTCGACGGTGGCAGCAGCGTGCGGCATCCCAGGCAAAGCGGCAGCGTCGGCAGAGCTGGGCAACGCGACGCCAATGAAGTGTTGGAGGCAACCGGGGAACTTCTGCGCGGCGAATGCCGTCCCTCGAGTCCGCCAACGGAGTGGCCCGTGGCTGTCGGGAAGGAGCCTCCATATGGGCCAAGCCGCCGCACACAGTGCCAGTGCACTCTGTCAGAAGACGGTGAATGAGCCAAACGTGCGAAGCTGGCTCAGTAGATAGCGCAGCTCGAGGCGATCCTCAGGTAGAACCCCAGAGTTCCGGGTGCCGACGGATGCGAAGATTGAGGCGCTGCGCGAGCAGCAACACGGCCGCCTGGAGTTGCTCAGCGCCGCGCGGCCCAGGATCTGCGCAACGTATGCAGAAGGCAAGGTTTGGGGCGGATGTCAACGAGAAGCCCGAGCAGGCGGCTAAGATGCGAGAGGCCATCAAGGCTCGCGAGGTACAGCTGGCGGCCGATGTCCAGGATATTGAGATCCTGAAGGTAGAGTTCTAGAAGACCTCGGCCCGAGTCGCTGACGCCGCGGGCGGGCCGAAGGCTGGCCACGAGCAGAACCACCCCGCTTTCGATTCCACGTTTGAGGGTGCGTATGATGCTGACCTCGAGACTCCCCTGGGCGGTGAGCGCTGGACCAAGATCAGGGTCTCGATCGCGCTGACTGCTCGGCGGCTGCCCCAAAGCCTAGGGGGCACCAGCGGAAGGACGCGAAGGCCATTCACGTTGGCATCATTGCCGATGCACGCGCACCGTCGGAGCGCCGTTGCCGTCAGATGTCGGGCGGAGCGTGCGAGCTTGCCAGATGTTACAATCGAAAATGATGTCTGTCGGGCTTTGGCCTGGAAGGTGCAAACGGGTAGATCAAGCGACTCGCACGGCAGAAGGTGGCCGACTGCGACACTTCTTGAAGGAGCCCACACAAAAAAGAAGCGGGACGCGCGAGGTTTATCGTAGCACGAGGGATGCATTTATGCATCGCCAGTGTGCCAATTAAGAACTAAGCGAAGCAGCATAATGCAATGATGGTCGGAGCTCCGAGCTGGTGTTTCACCAGCTCGCTCCTCCGTTGCCCAAATGCTGGCCGGGTGTGGGGTATTCCGTGGGCACCCAGTCTGTTGCTGGCACCCCTTGCCGTCCGCGGTGGACATCAGCTTTGAATCTGGCCTGCGAAGGTTGTGAGGCACGCAGCAGGGCTCAAACGGCAGACGCCTACGGCGAAACACCGCCGCCCCCTGCCTTTTTGGAAGCCCCTGCGTGGCCGAAAGTTGGATTTGAGCTTGGCCAAGCTATCGTGCCACGCGTTCCCCGAGTGGGTTTCGAAAGCTTTCGGGGAACACGGAGTCAGGCGAGCTATCGGACCAGGTGGTTTCCGAGCTTTCGGGTTTCCTGGAGGTCGTCTTGGAGGGCTCTTGGGCCGTCTTGAAGGCATCAAGCGGGCTTTTTGGGCCGTCTTAGGCCATCTTGAGGCCATCTTTGGCCGTCTTGGGTGCATATTGGGGCGATCTTAGCCGTCTTGGAGGCCACCTTTGCCGTCTTGGAGCCATCTTGCAGGCCATCTTGGCCGTCTTGGAGGCCATCTTGGGCGTCTTGCGGGCCTCTTGGGCCGTCTTGCAGCCTTCTTGGGGCTCTTCGACGCCTCTTGGGGTGTCATGGGGCTATGCTGGAAGCCTCTTGGGCGCTCTTGGGGCGATCTTGAGCGCCTCTTGGGCCGTCTGGGGCCGTCGGAGATCTGAAAAGAAGAAAGTGCAAGAATCCTTCAACAACCAAAGGCAAATCAGTGATTTTGGCCCTTTCGGGCCTTCCCGGAGGACGTCTTGGGGAGCTCTTTGGCCGTCTTGGAGGTCTCTTGCGGGTCTTTTGGCCCGTCTTAGACCATCTTTAGGCCATCTTGTGCCGTCTTGGGTACATCTTGGGGCCATCTTAGCCGTCTTGGAAACCATCTTGGCCGTCTTGGAGGCATCTAGCAGGCAATCTTGGCCATTTTGGAGGCCATTTTGGGCGTCTTGGGGGCCTCTTGAACCGTCTTGGGGCCTTCTGGGGGCCCTCTTGGGGGCCTCTTGGGCTGTCATGGGGCCATCTTGGAGACCTCTTGGGCGCTCTTGGGGCGATGTTGGGGGCCTCTTGGGCTGTGTTGGGCCGTCGGAGAGCTGGAAAGAAGAACATGCAACAATCTTTTAAATACCAAAGGAAAATCAATGAGTTGTCCCCTAGCGGGCCTTCCTGGAGGACGTCTTGGAGTGCTTTTGGGCCGTCTTGGAGGCCTCTTCCGGGCCTTTGGGGCCGTCTTACACCATCTTGAGGCCATCTTGGGCCGTCTTGGGTGCATCTTGGGACCATCTTAGCCGTCTTGGAGGCCATCTTGGCCGTCTTTGAGGCATCTTGGAGGCCATCCTGGGTCATCTTGGCCGTCTTGGCGGCCATCGTAGGCCATCTTGGAGCAAGAGAGGCATTGACAGGCGGATTTTCGGGAACCTTCCAGGACCCTGGCGGGTTGGGCCGAAGCCCCAGGAAAGTTCTTTTTGGGAAAAAGACCCAAAACCCGAACCGAAAGGATTTAGCACGCCAGGCATCCCTTTGCTGAAGCAAACGGGGGCGGCGGATCTAATGGCTATCGGCCCATCCCGTCACCGTGCCCGGGTTGTGGGTCAGAGTTCTCAGGGATGCTTCTTGGGGTCTCTTCGAAGCGCTCTCGGGGGCCTCTTAGGCGCAGTGTTCGGGCCTCGTGGGAGCCTCTCGGTGGCGTATTAGCGCCTCCTGGGGCCCTCTTGGGGCCCTCTTGGGGGCCTCTTGGCGTATCTTGGGGCCTCCTGGGGCCCCTTCGGGGCGGAAGGCTCGAATTGTTGGTCCGTGGTCGCCCCGTAGATTTCGGAAATTTGGGTCTGGGTCAGGACTGAGAGCTGAGGCTCCAGGGATTAGGCCAAGGACCTGAGGACACACCCACTTCGTGCCCTGAGGCACGGTGGCCCACTGCCATGCGACATTTAAGGGGCTGCCGCCCGCCGCAGGCAGGGAGGATTTGATATCAGAGCTTAGCGTGGGCGAGAGCTAGACACATCTAGTTTTCACAGGGATGTCTCCGCGATCCCTTCGCCTATCATTGCTGCCCCGTTGCCGCGTACAGTTGTTTAACTGACATTGGTGCCGCTGCCAATTCACGAGCTCACTTGCGGTGGATCTGATTCAACCCTCGAGGAATACATGCACATCTGTATACATATATATATACAGATATACATGTTCACAATTGTTGTACATATATGTATATATATATATGTATATGTATATATGTTTATACATACATACCTATGTATATTTTCATATATTCTACTTCGCCCGTGGAACCAGAGATACTGAAACCATGCATGTTTCCTCACAGCACTGCGATGTGTCACGGCGCACGGGGGCGGGGGGAGGAAGAGACAGGGGGAGACAAGGGAGAAGAGGAGGATAGCGAGAATCGGGGCGAGGATCATGTAAGCGATGATGATAGAGTGATGGTGATGATGATGATGATGATGATGGTGATGATGATGATGATGATTATGCTGATGATGCCGATGGCGATGACGACGATGCGGTTGATGATCAGTGCGACGATGGTGATGCTGCTGATGATGATGTTGCCGATGATGATGGTGCCGATGATGAGATTGATTATGATGACGGTGCTGATGATGCTGAGTATGATGATGAGACTGATGATGATGCTGCTGATGATGCCGATGATGATGTTTGTGTCGATGATAATAACAGCGATACTGATGATGCTAATGATGATGCCGATGATGATGATGCTTATGATGACGCTGATGATGACGATGATGATGCTGATACTGATGCTGATGAACATGCTGATGCTGATGCTGACGATGCGAATCATTCTAACGATGGCGAGGATGATGATGATGCTGATGATGATGACTGTGATGTTGATGGTGATGATGAGGATGCTGATGAAGACGATGATGATGAGACGATGCTGCTGATGATGATGACGATTATGGTGTTGATGACGGTGGTGATAATTATGAGGATGCCGATACGTAATGAAGATGATGATGATGATGACGATGATGATGCAGATGCTGATGCTGATGGTGATGATGATGCTGATAACGATGATGGTTATGATGACGATAACGATGCTGCTGATGCTGCTGGTGATGCTGTAGATGATTATGAGGATGGTGAGGATGATGATGAGGATGATGATGAGGAGGAGGCTGCTGACTCTCATGGTGCTGACGATGACGATGATGTTGCTATTGTTGTTGTTGTTGTTGTTGGTTGATGATGCTCATGATGCGGCTGATGATGGTAGTGATGATGACGATGATGATGATGATGATGATGATGCTGATGATGATGATGATGATGATGGTGCTGCTGATGATGATGCTGCTGCTGATGATGATGATGATGTTTGTGATGCCGAGGGTAGAGATGACGAGGATGAGGCGTAGAATGATGATAGTGATGACACGTGATAAAGATGATGTGGATGATACGCAGGGACACACGGAGCACAGCGAGGGTGAGGAGAAGTAGCCGGAGGAGCAAAGGAGAGATGAGGAGAAGGAGTATGC